CTCCCCCCCAATATGTGCAGATACTACTGATTATTGTATGTAGGGTGTTCAGGCATGTATGCCTTCAAAATAAATCCAAAATTGGGCGGGGTGGGAAATTGAAAACTATTTTTTGAGGGGGGTCGATAATTTTTGGAAGCCTGTTGGATCAACTTTTTACCCCCACATCTGGGGGGGGGGGGGGGGGGGGTTCACTTTCTATGACTTTTTGATTCAGGCCTTCTGAAAGGTTTTAATAATTTAGTTGATGGACTAAAGGACAAACGGAACACCAGGCTTTTATAATAGACTAGCAGGAACTACCAGGGGTTGCCCGGGGAAAAATATATTTCAAAACGTATCTTAAAAACATAACATACATACATAAATACGAAACTATTGTGAAAGCCCGGCGTTCCGTTTGTCTGTCCATTTGTCCATCAACAAAATTATAAGAGGCTTGCAGAAGTCCAAAAAGTTATAGAAAGTGGGGGGTAAGTAGTTGATCTTAAAGGTAATCGAAAATTGTCGACCCCCCACCCTCAAAAAATATTTTTACCCTGCGTAGGCATATATATCTACACACCCTACATACAATAGAGTGAGTTGTATCTAGTGACTCTATAATAGTAGCTGGCTCTACAGTAGTATCTACCAACTCTATAGTAGTAACTACTAACACTATTGTAGTATCTACTGACTACAAGTAGTATCCACTGACTATAGTAGTAACTACTAACTCTATAGCAGTACCTATTGACTATCATAGTATCTATTTACTCTATAGTAGTATCTACTGACTCTATAGCAATATCTGCTGACTCTACAGCAGTATCTACTGACTCTATAGTCATTACTACTGACTTTGCAGCAGTATATACTGATTGTAGTGGAATCTACTACTGTAGTATTATCTATTGACTATAGTAGTATCTACCGACTCTACGGTAGTATCTACTGACTCTATAGTAGTATCTACCGACTCTATGGCAGTAACTACTGACTCTGCAGTAGTATCTAATGACTGTAGTAGTTCCTACTGCATTTATAGTAGTATCTATTGACTCAATAGTATCTACTGACTGTAGTAGTAACTACTAACTCCATAGTTGTATCTGCAGACTCTCTAGCAGTATCTGCAGACTCTATAGCAGTATCTACTGACTATAGTCATTATTACTAACTCTACAGTAGTATCTACTGACTTGAAAGTAGTATCTACTGACTGTAGTAGTATTTACTGACTGTAGTAGTATTTACTGACAGTCGTATCTACTAACTATACAGTAGTGTCTACTGACCATAGTAGTATATACTGATAGTCGTAGTATCTACTAACTATACAGTAGTATCTACTGACTCTATAGTAGTATCTACTGACCATAGTAGAATCTACTGGCTGTAAAGTAGTATCTACTGACTTTAGCAGTATTTATTGAAAGTAGTGGTATCTACTGACTCTATAGTAGTATCTGCCGAGTCTATAGTAGTATAAACCAACTCTATAGTAGCAAATACTGACTACAGTAGTATATAATGACTAAAGTAGTATCTACGTAATCTATAGTATCTGTTGACTCTATCGAAAGAACAACTATCTCAAAGACTCAGCACCACACACAGCTGAAAACAGCAGTTATAACAAGCTGTGAAAACACCATTGGCTACACAAGAAGGAAAAACTGTGACTGCTTTGATGACAATGACCAGGAAATCACAGGCCTCATTGACAAGAAGCGGAAAGCATTAATCGCCTGGCAACGACACAAACAGTTTAGACAGAAAAAACAATCATATAAGGAGGCCAAATCGGAAGTCCAAACTAAAATCCAGGAACTGAAGAACTGATTCAGAAACCAGGCTAACTACACTAATTACAACGTAACTAGCTACAACGGACCGGATCACAGCTTGGGTCCAGGTCCACGTGTTGGAGGCTCGGTAGAACGTAGGACGTAGACGAAGGCTTCTTCAAGATAAACAACAACGCCGGTCTCTCTGGGGACCTCGCTTATATTCTGTGCGGCATGGCTGGCTCCGCCCTTGGCCACGACCACCTTCCAGAATCCTCGAGCAGGATCTGGTCCTGGACCACATGACCATCCTTAGCCCCCACTTGGGACCCCTTTGTAGACTTTAACTGTCAGTCCTGAGCAAGCAAGGAACATCAAGGGACGTTGATACAAGAACTGGTCCCGTAAATTTTATATCTCCAATGCAGACCTCCACTGTTATTTTCCTAATGATGCCAAATGAGCCGCCGTTTGCGGCAAAGCACGGTGCCCCGATGGGACATAGGGTCCGACTATTAGGTGGCAAGATGTTGAAAATCAACTCAGAAATGATAGTCGCTGACGCCCCAGTATCGACGAGCATTCTGATTTCAACCCACTCTATCAATCCGATAACAGCGGATGAACCAGCGGTCGCAGCAACCACTCTATGGGCCAACTCCAACCACTGACCCGGTCAGAGCGGCCTGTCAGCCCGAGCAAATTGCGAACCCTCACGCACCGGCGCACGACGGGAATGAAAACCGACTGAACGCGATGAGTGAGGTGGATTCAGGGGCCGAGTGTGTCATGTGGAGGACGGTCGGGCAAATAATGGCGGTGGTCCGGGGAGGCGTTGTCGCGGTACGCGGCAGCCCGATGAGACATGTCGCGGCAGGCCGTAGTTGTAGCAAACGATGAGCCCGCTCCCAGAATGAGGAGAGGTTTTCCGCCGTCGTTGTTGTTCATCTTGTTGCACCATGCCGTCCCCCCGCCAGCCTCCGCCTTGAGTTGAAGCGCAGGCTTGGACGGGCTCCACATCTTCGGGTGTATCCCGTGCCTCACGAGGCGTGGTACACGCCGCCAACCCCTTATGCCGTTACAACAGCAGGTGCGCCTGGATGTATCTTGCAACCTTGAGAGAAGACGAGTCGTCTTCGTCAACAGCCGTCAGGATGATGTTGAGGTCCTTTGCCAACGTCAACAATCTCTCGAGGACCAGCGATTCGACTCCGTCGTGGTCCATTTTCGGGAAGGCAGCCTTTGCTAGTGCCAATAGTGCGCGTAGATGGGCTGCACTTGCCTGCAATGGCAGACAGCCCAGAAGCGGTTGGGGGCTGGGGGGGGTTGTTGGATCCCCCGCAGCCCCTCTCAACGGGTGGGGGCTGCGGGGTGTTCTACGATCTCACAGAGCCCCGCCCCTCGGCTGAGAAGTGTATATAAGGCGGGCCTCTGGAAAGGTTCGTGGCAGTTGAAGACCGAAGCCTGAAGACCTGCTAGAGCAAGACCTTGGACCACTAGCCCCGCTGTCCTTATAAGGGTCGGGGCTCTGTGAGGCCAGTAGTGGACCCTGGGACTCTCTTGCCTGATGTCCTTATAAGAGCCAGGTCTGAGGAACCAGTGGTTGGACTTGTACCTTGGCTGGGTCAGGTCAGACAGCCTCCCGTAGGGTATCATAGCCGGAGGACCTGGAGTGTAGCCGGGGTAGGCACACTACATAGGCGGCGTATTATAGGCTGTGTGGAAGAAATACATGAGATAGGCTGTACGAGTAGTTAGTGTTCAGTAGTTAGTGTGGTGTGTGTAATAAAGACATAGCCTCTGTTGTATATGCCGGGTATTGAAAATTAAAAAAATAATAATACAAATTTAATGAAATTTTTAAAAATGCCTAATTGCCTGAAATTATGTGAATTGATGTAATTGTGTGCATAAATTATGCTAATTAGGGAGGTGTCATCGCATTAAGTTTTACAATTGCATGTGATTATGCCAATGCACACCGTTATGATAATTAGGCTCAACCTTGTTATCTAGGGTCGTATTTATCAATCGGGATAAGACAATGAATTGTATGAAGTTATTCAAGTGTGATGTAAGTATGCTAGATTAAACTCGGCTTCGTTGTCTAGGGTAGTGTTATTGATCGGGATAATACAGTTCTCGCTTAAACATTTACTGATTATGTTTATGTCAGGTCTCCAAATTCAAATCTCACCACAGGATACAGTTCTTATAATTAAGATTATTATGCATGAACTTAGGAAGGCACCACTCAGACACTTCTGAGTTAAGCAATTTTAATTTCTAAACAAAAACATAACACTCTAATATGCGAACGCTTATGCTTGGAATTGTCAACAAAGTACTCCTTGAGATGTTCTCCTCATCGATCCATAGATTTAACCCTCAATGATCACGTTGCTAAACTGGGTAACAGAATAATTGATTAATTCCTTCGAGTACGCGAGCATACACGGCGATAGGAACAAAAAGTCCTTAAAATTCATGCAATGATATTCATACGAGGGGCAATAAAGAAACATGTCCCGAAGGCAAGAGTAGTTATCAATTAATTCATTGGCAAGATTATGCAATTAACAAAAACGAATGACTAAAATACTTCTACAATCGTATTCATGTAACTCGACGGGCAGCAATGTTCTTCACGATCAGTTGATATTTAATGTACCACCTTGGAATGACAACCCTTCTTGAAACACAAAGATAACTTTTTGGAACAATCTTATTTGTCCCGTTATGCGTGTTGTGTCTTTTTTGCCACTTGTTCAATTCTTTGCGTAAAGCACGACACTCGCCGTCGGTGCGCGATGATTCGTCGTCAGATAGCGCCCGCAGCTCGTCCGCTGGTCGCCGTTCCTCACTCTTGTGTTGGTTCACCGCTGGTGCTGGTCGGTGTAAGTGTGGGTCGAACCCACAGCGCTGGCGCTGACACTCTTGCTCACGGGCGGCTGGTCAGGCTCTTTCCCCTGCTCCGTGCTCTCTCCTTTATCGTGCAGTTGCCAGCTTCACATGGACAGGGCTGCGCTGGCTCTCAGGCTCTTTCCACTGCTCCGTTCTCTCTGGCAATGCACGATGGCTCTCGTCGCTCATCCGCTGCTGCTGGTCCTCTGTGATGCTCGCTTGGTCGATGCTTGGCACTTTCCGCCCTTTCTCCAGGTTGATTGCTTGTCGTCGCTCGACACTCTTTCTCTCTCATTTTCTCTTGCTCTCTCTTTGATCGTGCAGCTGCCAGCTTCACACGGACACCCGCCCTTACTTCAGGGCTGCGCTTTGTCGTTGCTCAACTTTCGTGCTCTTCACCCTTCTTCCAAGAGGGCCTTTGCTGTGAGTTGCTCGTCGCTGGCTGGATCACTCACTCTCAAAAACTTGAAAACCTCTTACACAACTTTGATAGCTTAGTACAATACAACTTATCGCTATCCTTGACTTTGCAAGCGACTCAAAACATCAGGATGAATGTAGAATCACTTTCAGCGATACTCTGTCGGTCCATGCCGAACTCAGCACCGAGCATCACCTCGCCCCTCTTCTCTGCGAGACACAGCACCCATTGCTAATGTCGAGGCCATGCCCCGGAGCCTGCTCGTCGCAGTGCTCTTTGACGTTCGCAGCACACTTCTTGCATGATCTGTGTCCGTGCTTAAAAGTGAAATTGTCCCCGCTCTTCTTTGGTTCTTTCGGTAAAGTCACGTAGAATGAGAATAAAATAATAAATTGATCAAATAAAATAACACAATAATATTCTCACGACGTTTCGGCCACAACACAAGCGGCCTTCATCAGGTGAAGGGATGAGACTGTCTGGAAAACAGCGCTGGAGTGAAAAAACCACGCTCAGATCGCGACCTTTAAGCTGTGTGAGAAGAAACAAAGCGCCTTGACAAAGGAATTAGCATAGAATTTAGCATTGAAATGGCTGAGTGATTAGCTTGTGACTGGTCACAGAAATGGCTATGTTAAAGTTAAAGCATACACATCCGCAGAGGCACCCCTTGACAAAGGAATTAGCATAGAATTTAGCATTGAAATAGCTAAGTTAAAGCATACACATCCGCAGAGGCACCCCTTGACAAAGGACTTAAGCTTTCGTGATTGCAGGCGCTCATGTACTTTGGTTCATTTGGTGAAGTTACATAGATAGATAAAATAAGAAATAAAATAAGGAAAACTGCAGTCTAAAATGTCGACTTATTCTTATAGCCAAGCTTCAACTTTTTCCGTACAAAAAAATATATATATCAGTTATAATGTCCGTTTGCCCTGTGCTCTGTGTCCGTGCCTGTGATTCTGGATATTTGTTTGTGAACTGTCCAAAGCGCCAAGCAGGTCATGGCATGTGGTCCTTTGGCAATCTGGAGATTTTGCAGATCGTCGTTAACCTCCCTTTGCCCCGAAGTTGATTATTTAATGCCCTTTTACGACCTCCAGATGCTTGGTGCTTGTGGGAGGTAGCGGGTTTGAGGGTGTTTTATGTATTTATTTGATCGATTATATAAAATAAAATGGCAGAATTATTCTTCATTTTATTTTTGGAAAAAGGCCTATATATACAACATTCCGCCCTTTTAAAATTGATCAGTGGTCAAATGGCCACGGGTTATTTTTAAACAAAATAAATGCCTTTTTCCATCATGAACCATTGACCATCCTCAAGTTTCGGCTGCTATTTCCTTACAACGCGCGCGTACGTGTCACAAACTTAGCATGGTTACATTTGAAATAAGAAAAGAAAAAAAATCTTAAGGCAACATCTTACATCGGTTCTTGTCAATTATTGTTCCTGTGATTTTTGTTTTAGTTCCTGGGAAATGCTAGGCAGCGGTTTGGAACACGGTTGTGCATTGTCTTCCTTATGTTACCTCTTTGCCACATGTTTACCAAGTTATGGGTAAACTCACTGCCACTTTTGGTCAAGAGTGCATCATTACCAGTATTCGCATGGCCAGGTATTTTAGAGTAACCTATTACCTTTTCACGCAACATCACAACATCATCCTCTTGGTTCATCGTCATTATGGCTTTGGTCAAATGAGCACGGTTTACTGGTTCCTTTTTTTATGTCACTCGCTTTCCATGTGAGACTACAGTGAGGGAAAAAAAGTATTTGATCTACTGCTGATGTTGTTTGTTTGCCCATGATCAGTATCTAATTTTAATGGTAAGTTTATTTGAACAGTGAGAGACAGAATAACAACAAAAAAATCCAGAAAAACGCATGCCAAAAATGTTATCAATTGATTTGCATTTTAATGAGGGAAATAAGTATTTGACCCCCTCTCAATCAGAAAGATTTCTGGCTCCCAGGTGTCTTTTATACAGGTAACGAGCTGAGATTAGGAGCACACTCTTAAAGGGAGTGCTCCTAATCTCAGCTTGTTACCTGTATAAAAGACACCTGTCCACAGAAGCAATCAATCAGATTCCAAACTCTCCACCATGGTCAAGACCAAAGAGCTCTCCAAGTATGTCAGGGACAAGATTGTAGACCTACACAAGGCTGGAATGGGCTACAAGACCATTGCCAAGCAGCTTGGTGAGAAGGTGACAACAGTTGGGGCGATTATTCGCAAATGGAAGAAACACAAAATAATTGTCAATCTCCCTTGCCTGGGGCTGCATGCAAGATCTCACCTCGTGGAGTTGCAATGATCATGAGAACGGTGAGGAATCAGCCCAGAACTACACGGGAGGATCTTGTCAATGATCTCAAGGCAGCTGGGACCATAGTCACCAAGAAAATAATTGGTAACACACTACGCCGTGAAGGACTGAAATCCTGCAGTGCCCGCAAGGTCCCCCTGCTCAAGAAAGCACATATACATGCCCATCTGAAGTTTGCCAATGAACATCTGAATGATTCAGAGGACAACTGGGTGAAAGTGTTGTGGTCAGATGAGACCAAAATGGAGCTCTTTGGCATCAACTCAACTCGCCATGTTTGGAGGAGGAGGAATGCTGCCTATGACCCCAAAAACACCATCCCCAACGTCAAACATGGAGGTGGAAACATTATGCTTTGGGGGTGTTTTTCTGCTAAGGGGACAGGACAACTTCACCGCATCAAAGGGACGATGGACGGGGCCATGTACTGTCAAATCTTCGGTGAGAACCTCCTTCCCTCAGCCAGGGCATTGAAAATGGGTCGTGGATGGGTATTCCAGCATGACAATGACCCAAAACACATGGCCACGGCAACAAAGGAGTGGCTCAATAAGAAGCACATTAAGGCCCTGCAGTGGCCTAGCCAGTCTCCAGACATTAATCTATAGAAAATCTGTGGAGGGAGCTGAAGGTTCGAGTTGCCAAATGTCAGTCTCGAAGCCTTAATGACTTGGAAAAGATATACAAAGAGGAGTGGGACAAAATCCCTCCTGAGATGTGTGCAATACTGTCGGCCAACTACAAGAAATGTCTGACCTCTGTGATTGCCAACAAGGGTTTGCCACCAAGTACTAAGTCATATTTTGCAGAGGGGTCAAATACTTATTTCCCTCATTAAAATGCAAATAAATTTATAACATTTTTGACATGCGTTTTTCTGGATTTTTTTGTTATTCCATCTTTCACTTTTCAAATAAACCTACCATAAAAATTATAGACTGATCATTTCTTTGTCAGTGGGCAAACGTACAAAATCAGCAGGGGATCAAATACTTTTTTCCCTCACTGTATGTGGCGTGAAGTTGTGTTGCACGTAACCAGAATCAGCACACACCACGAGTTTCCGTGCTCGACTGTCGGGGGCATTTGCCTTCTCTGCAGCAATATGCGCATTTGTGGACTGAGTGAGTCGATTCGATTCCGTGCCAGGTTGGGTCTCCCTCTTTGTGCTGTTGAGTGTGCTGGGTTTCAACACAATTCCCGATCCGTCATGGATCTTCATCTCCTCCATTTCAGCACTCTGATCTCCATCCCTCCTCAGTGTGCCAATGCACAATTTTTCGTCCAAATGCTGATGCCTGCATTCCTCTACCCCTCCACAGTACAATCACGCAAATCCGCGACACAATCGGCGGCTTTTCCATTTACCTGGCGATCGGGTTTTACCCCCCCTCCCTGCGGTTTGTTATCATCTCCTTTCGGATCACACTTCAATGCAGTTATGTTTTCCAGTTCGATAGGTGTGTCAATTACTGGAGCGATACTTGCGTTCTCTACCACATCAGAATTGGTACTCGACGCATTTAGTGTTTCCCAATCATCGCTACTCTTCTGGTTTGTCTATCTTGTATTTTCCAACGGGGCTGTGATTTTGCTGAAATTCAGCGGGTATTGCTCTCACTGACAGCTCCTTCTCAATTAATGTGGGTGATTCATCACGTGGTTGTGCCACATTTAGTATCTCAGTTGAGCCCATTTTTGTTTCCTTATTTCCTGTTTCTCTTAACCCTCCTGGTGGAGCCGGTGGTGGTATCGATCGGAAGTGGGCAGATTGTGTTTGACCTTTCGTGTGTCGTGGCATTGGATACTAGTATGATTCTGCTCTTGGCCTCCACACGATTTGCGATTCCGTAAATACGTGTCTTTGCGTGCTGTGATCGCCTCCAATTTGTGTGCCACTGTCTCACTGAATTGTTACCTTGCCATCTGTGTGGATAATTATTGACCTTCCGTGTGCCGTGGCATTGGGTACTGGTATGATTTTGCTCATGGCCTCCACACGTGGCGATTCTCGTAAATACGTGTTTTTGTGCGCTGTGGTCGCCTACAATTTGTGTGCCACAGTTTCGCTGAATTGTCACCTTGCCATCTGTATGTAATTATGTTGGTAGTTCGTGGGTGCTTGCTCCTCTCTGCATTGTGGGGCTTGGTGTATTAAATGCCTCACATGTGGGGTGCTGTAGCTGCTCACGTGATTTTTACTTCCCTCTGAAAGGCTGGGTACATTATCCCTCTCCCTGTGTGTTGGATCCGAATTGTTTTTAGTCCTGTATAGCCATGCCATGTGAGCCCTATTCTCTATGCGGTGTAAGGAGGCCGTCTCTGGGTCCAAAACCATTCCCACAATTTCTGTAATCTTTGGACTCGACGATTAAAAAAAACATAATCTTGAACATTTGTCATCTTCGTGATACTGATCCACATCGCCTGTATAGTACGCTCTTTTAAATCCTACGAGGTAATCTCGCGGATCCTCGTCTACGCACTGGGTCATAGATTTGGCAGCATTAAATCCCTCAGACAGTGTTGAATATTCTCCAAACTTCCGAATCACTGCCAGGCCCAGCTCTTTGAAATCGTTCCTAACCTTTTATGGTAGCGACTTTACCCATGATATAGACTGTTCATGTAAACTTCTTTTCAGCAGACTTGCTTTCTCATCA